GGGGGGGAGGGTTTGGCAAGTCCTTCTAAGTGGTCTTTCAAGCTTTTCAAAGCTTGGAAGACCTGGTTTTGAGCTCTTTTTTTGGCAACCAAAAGACAGGAAACCGAAAAGCTTGAGAAAGCTCAGATTTGTCCAAAATCTGAAAGCTTCATTTGAAGCTTCAAGTTGTTTTGAGCATATAAATCTTTTCATTCGAGAAAGGGCATTCAAAAAACCCTTGTTTCCGCTCTGAGTGCATTGGCTAAAGGAATCCGCACCAGGTATGGAGACGTTCTTCTTTCTTCCTTTTTTTCCCTTCAGTTCTCTCTTTCTTCTTTGATCCAAATCTCTACTCGTACCTCTGTTCCTTTCAGATTTGATCTCTCCCCTCTCTCACTTGCTCTGTCTGAAGCTAGGAAATCTGATTCAAAAGCAGGTATGATCTCCATCATTTGATGGTGATACGTTCTCCTGATTTGCTTGTAGAACAATTTTTAGTTTGCTTCTTATTTTTAGTTGAATTTCATCAAAATGAATGTTTACAGAATGCAGAAGAGGGCAATTTGTAGAACAATTTCATCAAAATGATCTCCCGGTTAACGGATTAGTTAATATTTACTGTTAGATACCCTTTAGGATTGCAGAGTAGTGCAATATATTCTAGAATGATGGAATGAATCTTCATCTTGAAATTCCTATTTAAACTTGTTTCCACCATCCAAATGAATACACCTGGTTCTTATTTAAACTAAACTTTAAAGTTTTGGTGAAACTTGTTCCACAGAACTTGTCTCCACCGTATCAGACCAGCTCATAGAACTTGTTTCCACTGTCCAAATGAATTCAACATACAGCTCAGATCGGTCCAAATTGATATCTGGAACCTTTTAATTTATTTGCATCATAATACTGGACCCAGTTTATGTCATTTTAAACGATTCATCAAATGTTTTTCTATTCTACTTGAGTATATAAGCTTTTCTTCGATTTAAACAACTTCTGGACTGGTATCCATAATAAGAGTGCAACTTTGCATAGCCTATTCTGAAAAGGAGTCCATGAAAGTTGGAGCAAAGAATAGACACTTTTACCTGTTATCTCATGGGATTAGGATTCGGATATCGTTAAAATTTTGGTGGTTTGAAACTTCGGGAGTTCTCGGTTTCCCTTAAAGGCCTAAAACTGTTTCTATTTATCTATTTACCTGTTACTTTTGGTTAATAGTTAACTCCATGTCTTAATTGTTGAGTCCATAATGAAACTAATAGTCTAAGAGATTGTAACCATATCTATGCTTAATACTCATCACCCTTTAAAGCTGGTAAACCTATGGATGTTGATAAATTAGAGGCTTCCTGTGCAGACGAACAACCTTCTAAAATGAAATGAGATATCATAAGTATGTCTTCTAGCTAGAAGATAGATAATGAAAGTTATAAATCCTTTACTTAGAAGAAGAAAAGAGAGATGGGTTTCTTTTCCCTCATTTTTAATAAATTGTAAAGAGAAACCTGAAGAAGAAAGGAAAATAATGTTCTTGAATTGTGGTGTGTGTCGTCTATTATATATGTGTGTGATATGCTACTGTTTAAAAACCTTTCAAATCTGAAATTTCTCATGTGATTTCCTCATGAATTTGCTACTGAGTTAAAAATCTCCCATTTTGCTCCGTAGCATGGTCTGAATCTTGCTTTGTTTGCAACTACTAGGGATGCAAATGGATTAGATCGGATCCAAATAAGGGTATATCTAAATATGATCTTATAAATTGTAGGTCCGATCCAATTCAAAGATCCAGTCAAATCTCACAAATATTGATTTGGATTTGAATCCAATAAAGATCTTGGATATTCGAATATGATCCGATCCGATTTAATTTAAAAAATTAATAAATTATTAAAAGGAAAAATAAAATATAAAAGTTTAAATAAAGAAAAACAAAAGACAAGTATTTTTCAACTATTTTTATCATATATATACATGTTTTTTATAAAAATTAAATAATATAAAAATTACAAAAATGTAATATAAATAAAATATTATAAATAAATAATATAATATATTATATTAGATCAGATCCTTTTGGATCGGAGGGGGGGGGGGGGGAGATCCGAATCTAATTCGATTATCCAATTTGAAAATCCGAAACGAGGATATCCAAGTCCAACAAAGTAGGATATGACTTTGGATTGGATCATGATTTGATCCATTTGCACCCCCTAAGCATTACTGTTAATTACCTTTTAAACCTTAAATTTCTCATGTGATTCCATCAAGGTTTAAAATTTTGGCCCGCATTAGCCGATACGTATTGTTTTGGGAGAGTCCTGATACATGTAACATACAAAATTTGATAGTTTTATATTTTTGCTTGTACTGGATCGATATAGGTCCATATTGGCCTCATATTAGATCGTTTTGGGTATGTATCGACCTAGGGATGGCAATTTTGTAGGAATTTTCGGGTATTCAACTTGTTTTGGCCCTAATAGAACCTATTTATCAAAACCCTATAGGGTTTGGGATGGACTTGGGATTTTATATTAAAACGCTGGGACGGGTTTAGGTTTGACTTTAGGGTATTTGATACTTGATACCCAAATTTATTTGACGTGGGTACCCATTCCCAATACCTAACTATAAACCTAGTTTTATATATATATATATTAGACTTGTTCATGGGCCGGGTAGCCCGACGGGCCGGCCCGACCCCTGGACGGGCTTGCGCATGAACTTTAGCCCATGGGCTTGACCTCGGGCCTAAAAGCCCAAGCCCGACTATTTTACGGGTCGGGCTCGGGATTTGTCACAAAAGCCCAGCCCGACCCGACATTTTGTATTTTATTGTAAACCCTAGCCGATTAACCCTATTCCCTCTTTTCATCTTTTATCTTTCTCTCCTCATTCTCAATAACCGGCGTGAATCCAAGCAAGCAGCCACTGTTCTCAGTCTCAGAGGTGACAAGCAAGCTCAGGCACCAGCAGACTCTCTCTCTGGTGGTGAGTCTTCTCTCTCTCTTTCTCTCTCTCATAGTTCTCACTCGCACGCACTCGCATATTCTCAGGATTCAGGAACCGACGAACTCAAGCACCGGTGCCAATTGCGCCACTAGTGAACTCAGTCGCCCCTCCCTCCGACGGTGAATCTTCTCTCTCTCTCTCTCTCCACCATTCCTCTCTCTCTTGTCTCTCTCGTAGTTCTTATTCTCATGCATTGTTGCAAATTCTCAGGAACTAGTGAACTCAAACATCGGCGATGGCGAACGCAGGCATCGATGCCAGCTGCACCACCAGTGAACTCAGTCGCCCTGCATTTCAGCCTCTGTTAGGTCAGGCTTCGGGCTTTTTATGAGGGCCAAGCTTTTGCTCTTCATTAACAAGATATATATATGTGTGTGTGTGTGTGTGTGTGGTATGGTATATATATAGTATAAAATAATTTATAATATATAATATTTTAAGAGAAATTAAGTAGAAGCCAAGAAGAGCCCTATGGCCTATGGCATTCCTAATTGGTTAATTTGCAAGTTTGGGGTATCTGGTTAGGTTCAAATACAATCCAATCAATACATTAAGGTAAGTTGCTTGTTTATGAAATTTAAATTTTTATTAGTTAATTTTAATATTTTATTGACATAACTATTATTAAGTTTAAATGGATTTTACAATAATATAATTAAGATTTAATATTGCCAAATATAAATGCTATCTATTTGTCTAAATTCAAATTAAGAATCAATTGGTTTGGGCACGTTTAAGTTCAATCCAAACAATATTTCTAGCTGAAATATTGTCTATGAATTTTAATTTTTATCAATTAATTCTAATAATTATGTAATTATTTCTAAATTCAAATGGACTTTAAATTAATGTTATTATGATTTTGGATTGCAATTTCGAGAGTGCTATCTATTTCTCTAAATTTAGATTGAAATTCAATTGGTTTGGGTAAATTCAAGTCCAATCCAAGCATTACTTTTAGGTGATATACTTGTTAATGATTTTTAAATAYTTATAGTTATTTTTAAAATTTTATTGCTGCAATTAAGATTGGAAATGGTATCTATTTGTCAAAATTCAAAATCAAACTCAATTTGAGATGATAATCTTGACTCTTAAGTGCTTTGGATCAAATTCAACTCTCACAAAAGATAGGGTTGGGGGCTACCATCATCCCTAAGCCCCACACAACTTATGATGTTAAAATTAAAAAAAAAAGAAAGAAAACAAGTGCTTTAGAATTTGGTGGGGTGCTCATAGTTTGGTCGACCATACCATGGGCAAATTGTTGAAACCCAACTGATCCTTCAGTTTTTACAATATTGAGAACCAAAATCGAACCGAACTAATTGATTGGTTTAGTTTTTTTATCGATTTGCTTCTTTGTTTTCTTATATTTATAATATATTATAAATGAATATATAAATATATATGCCAGTCAGCTCAATTAACAATCAATTTTTTCTATAGGTTAATCAAAACCAAAAGGATTTTTTAGTTTGATTTCCTTGATTTGGTTCAATTTTTCGGTTTTTGATGTGAACATTTCTAGAATTTAGAAGGATTTGATAGAGTTTTCTTGTGAAGCATAAGTCTTGTATATTTTACATATTATAATCAAGGTTTAATATTTTGATACGATACGCCCGATAAGGGGTGTATCATATCGTATCTTTGAAAAACAAATGCAAAATATGCATGGAATCAGGCATTTAGTCTTTTTTCATGTGTATCGGACCCATATCGGGGGCGTATCAGGGTGTATTGGGGGTATATCAGGGCGTATCAGTAGCGTATTGACAAAAAAGATACGACCAAAAACTGAAAAAAAATAAAGGGGGAAATCAAGCTTCTTTTCCCTGAAATAAGCTTTCTTTCACCCCCAAATGACTATAAAACTCCATACCTCATTTCTAGAGTGCTTGATTTGCAAAAAATTGTGAAAAACAAGTGTTAGTCATTAATTTTTT